GTCGACAAGAGACCCTTGTGAGTCCGGGGTGGCACTAGGCCGAGGTCCTAGGGGGGAGCACTTCGTTGTGGAAGTTGGTGTAGGTGGCCGCAAGTGCGGTGCCTTCGTAGACATCGGCTCCGCGCGGAATTTTATAAGTCGCGACTGCGTTGAGAGACTGCGCCTACAGGGCCAGGTGCAACGCCTAAGTAGACCGGTAGCATCTACTTTGGCCAACAAAGAGCGCATATTGGTGGAGGACTACGTCAAGGACGTGGTCTGCACTTTCTCCTATGCAGGAGGGGAACTTCATTCCTGGTTAGTGACGACCTACCATTTAACATGTCGTTAGGTATGTACTACCTTGAGGTTGCCAAGCCCCAGTTTGACTGGGACAAGAAAGTGCTAAAGCATGAGCTGCCTAATGGGAGGACCGTTAGACTAGCTAAGTATAAGGCTACTAGGTTGATTGACTCCTACGGGTGCTTGTGCGCATCCACCTTCTATAATTATTATAAACAGAACCAAGAGCAGGGTATGTACCTGGTCTTTGTCTCTGAGAAAGGGGGGGCCGTTAAATCACCCCAGAGATAGAGAGTGTCGTTGCTAAGTACCTTGATCTGTTTGATGAGCCCACAAGTGTCGTAGACAGGGAGGTTGTTCATGCCATAGAGATCATCCCTGGGAGCAAGATACCCTAAGGGAGAATCTATAGGACGGCTTCGTCCGAGTGGGACGAGCTCCGTCGACAACTGAAAGAGCTCACAGAACAGGGTTGGATACGGCCTAGCATCTCCCCCTTCGGCTCACCAGTTCTATTTGTCCCGAAGAAGGGGGATCATTAAGTATGTGCATTGATTATAGGGGCCTCAATGCCATCACCGTTAAGAACGCAGAGCCCTTACCGCGCATCGACGACCTACTGGATAAGGTGCAAGGATGTAAGTACTTTACAAAGATTGACTTGAAATCCGACTACCATCAGATTGCCATTAGACCGGAAGACCAGCACAAAACCGCATTTCAGACCAGGTACGGTCTGTACGAGTTTGTGGTGATGCCTTTCGGACTTTGCAATGCGTCGGGTACATTCCAACACGCCATGAATAGGATCTTTCATGACTACTTGGATAATTTTATTGTCGTGTACCTCGACGACATCCTTATCTTTAGTAGGACTGTCGGAGAGCATGCTCAACATGTAGGCAAGGTACTTTCTCTCCTCCGGCAACACAAGTATAAGATAAATTTAGAGAAATGTGAGTTTGGTCGCACTAAAATCTTGTACTTGGGTCATGAAGTATGCTCGGAAGGGATTAGGCCTGAAGATGCAAAGGTGCCTAGCATTAGAGACTGGCCACGACCCCAGTCTATGACTGAGGTCAGATCATTCTTGGGAATGTGTGGTTATTATCGCAATTTCGTACAGAATTATAGTACGATCGCATCTCCCTTGACGGATCTAACACGCTTTGACACTCCATGGGAATGGACAGACGCATGTGAGGTTGCTTTCAAGAGATTGAAGCATGCCCTTACACATCATGAGGTTCTCATGGTCCCCAATCCTCAAAGGTCATTTGTTGTGACCATTGACGCAAGCCAATACGACATTTGCGCAGTGTTGGCTCAGCAGGAAGGGAAGAAGTTAAGGCCGATCGAGTACATGAAAAATAAGATGCCATCGGAAAAGTTGGCGAAGTCCACCTACGAAAGGAAACTCTACGCCCTTTGTAAGGCACTTGTCCGCTGGAGGCACTATCTGTTGGGAAGGTTCTTCTACTCGAGGACCGACCATCAGACACTCAAGTGGATCAAGACACAACCTGTTTTCTCCGATGCACTCAAACATTGGATTGAAGTCATAAACCAACATGACTTCAAGCTAGACTATGTAAAGGGAGAGTATAACAAGGTTGCTGATGCGTTGTCACGTAGGCCAGATTACCTAGGTGCGCTGGTTACCAAGTTTGGCTTATCCGACATTGTAACTCGATCCTTGGTGGAAGCCTACAAGCAAGACCCTATCACGATGGACATCACTCACAAACTTGAGGCCCAGGGCAAGGCCACCATTTATGAGTTTGTGATCGTGGATGGGTTGCTCTTTTTTGAGAAGGCCGGATTCAAAAGGTTAGTGGTCCCATTTAGAGAGAATTTGCGTAGTTTATTTTTAGGTGAGTGTCGTGACGCAACAACACATTTCAGCTACAAGAAGACTAATGCTAAGTTGGTGCAACGATTCTGGTGGCCTAACATGCTTGACGATGTGAAGACCTACGTTCAGACTTGCCAAGTCTGTCAGTGGGACAAGCCGCAGATTCGAGCTCCGCTTGGGTTATTATAGCCTTTACCCATTCCTGCTGGCCTGGGACAGATTGTTTCCATGAACTTCATGGATACCCTCATGATTGTTTCCATGGACTTCATGGATACCCTCATGACCAGCAAGAGTGGCAAGAGGCATATCTTCATCACAATTGATAGGTTCACTAAGTACACTGGACTAATCGCCATGCCAGAGACTGGCAGGACTGAACACGTCATCAAGTTATTCATGGATAACTGGGTGCGTGACTTTGGTCTGCCAAAGACAATTGTTAGTGATAGAGATGTCCGATTCACCAGCGAGATGTGGAAAAAGGCCACTGAACAGATGGGCAGCCAGCTCCAAATGACTTATGGGAATCATCCCGAAGCCAAGGGGCAGGCTGAATAGATGAACCATGTGGTGCAGCATCTGTTGAGGCACTATATTAAGCCCAACCAGGATGACTGGGATGACTCATCGCCAGTCTGTACAACAATGCTGTACATAACACCACATACGTCAGTCCTAATCAGCTGTGTTTGAGGTGGAAGCCTAGATCTGCTCTAGACTTCCTCCTACCTAAAAACGGAACTGCTGCAACCCCTGGAACCATAGAGTTTTATATCCAGTATGAGAAGTTGTTGCAGCAGACTGTCGAACACATCAAGAAATCTCAGGAAGCAATGATTGCTTCTGAGAACAAGCATCACCGGTAGTCCACATTTCAGGTAGGGGAATGTGTCTGGGTCAAGGGTAGTGAGTTGGGACAGGGGTTCGGCATCTCTAGAAAACTAATGCCTCAGTATTTCAGTCCCTGGGAAGTCTTAGACATTGTGGGTAGTGATTTGGATGGTCCCTCATACGTGATTTGAATCCCTGGTCACCTGCGCACTTACCCTGTGTTTCACGCCTCAAAGCTTGCACTAGACACAACAATTCCCATCAAGCAGATCAATGCTGCCCCCGACCATGGACGGTCACGTGGACGTCGACGATATTCTAGAACACAGAGACATGCCTGTTCTCAAGCCAGCTGGCCGAGGAAGACCGCCTAAACCTATGAGGGAGTACAGGGTATGGTTCAGGCATCACACGGATCCTAAGGAAGATCGATGGTTCACAAGAGAGGAACTTGTCAAGACAGCTCCTCAGATTGTGGCCGAGTATGGAAGAAGATTGAAGGGGAAGGCACCAGCATGAAGCATGTCAGCAGACTTTCAAAGCTAAGGGGGATGGAATGCGAGGAATGAGCCCTCGCAGGGCCCTTATCAGACATGCACATGTTCTGGGCAGAGGCCCTCAGCAAGCCCAGTGCCCGCCCTAAGTGAAGGCGGGCCTGAATATACACCTGAGGCCAAAATTTGACATTTTCCATATGTGGGTACTCAGGCTGTCGCAGCACGCCAGTTGGTTGAATGGAAGCGTGAGCCTCCTTGAGCTGCATCGTACAGTTTGGTCCAGGCCTTCGTAGTTGCGCCTGGGCACATACACACATAACGCAGGGCCGATACATCACAAAGTGGCTACGGGCCTACGCAAAAGCAGCATTGTCGACGTACATACCCCGGGTCCTGTGCAAATGCAGGAAACGGCCCAAGTCTGGAAACTCAGATCGTGCCCAAATGAAATGGGCCCAGGCCCTCAACTGCAGCACTGGGCCTGGGCGCAGCCACTGGGGGCCGACCGGAAGCTACTGGAAGCTTCCCAGCCAGGCCACACGCAGCCAAACAGAGGCTGCCACTTCCATATAGGGAAGGAGGCAGCAAGGGTCTGGCATTCTGGCCCTCACAGGCAATGCGGTCACGCTGCTGCGTTGCTGCGCGAGACGTTGCATGCTGCGCTAGTGGCCAGGACGCATGTGGGAGCTGCTGGGCAGCGGAGCGCGAGCAGCCATAGCCGGGCTGCAGGGCGGTAAGGGTTAAAGAGGGCGATCGGTGGTCTTCAGGAAGGAGGCGAGTGTGGGTGGTCAGGGTCTGATGAGGGGAGACGAGATACGTACCTGGTGCATGAGGGAGATCGGCTATGGTGTTGACGTCATGTACATTAGTCTTCAGAGTCGCAGTGAGCCTGTTGCGTGAATGCTGATGTAGGTAGGATAAGCAAGTAGAGTAGGCTGGGGGCTGGGCGCCAGACAGAGAGGAGCGACATTGGACACTGTGTTGGTGTGGCCTGAGGGCTTGAACATTGGCTCATGACTTCATTGTATTGCTCTTATTTGGATGGAATTTTGGTGCATTTGTGCTCTCTGCTTGTACACGACTACTTGGACATCTGTGTGATTTCGCAACTTGGCTTTCTGTATATCGTTCCCACTTATACCTTGCACATACATGGCTCCTGCATAAATTGTGAACTGCCTGGACATTTACCTGCCTTGTGTTATACATGTCAAATTATCAAATCCTCATGAATTCCATGCAGGAAGCTAAAGCCCCTTTCCTTTTACAAGCGGAAAAAGAAAGAGCATGAAAGAATAGGTTTGAGTCACATATTGAGTGGGTTCTTTAAAGTTGCTTGTTTATGCCGCTGGCATTCCGTTTATCGGAACTTTATCCAAACGTGGTTTCAAGTGAAATGAACAACAGTCCCAGCGTGCTGGCTGAAAACAAATCAAGAGTTCAAATCCTGTCAGACACACTAATGTTAGGGGACAATCCCATTAAAGAGGAGGAGGTGAACAAAAGTAATCTGTATGAAGGAAGATGCACACCTGTGTCAAGGTGATGTAGCAACGGTCCGTCAGGGGAGTAATGACGAGACAGCCGCAATTGCCCACATACTCATATGCATAATGAAACTCGAAGTCACAGATGTTGCTTTTACAGAGCTTTGTGTTCTCATCCAAGGAATACCTGCAGCCAATTGGAACGGATACCTTTAACAAAGCAACTTAATCGAAGTAATACGACTACAATGCATGTGGACAGAATGATGCATTGGTAACGAGATTTGCCTTTCTCTTTTCATATACAGTAAATGCGGCCTTATGGCCAAGGCTCCATTCTGCTTTGGCGAGCATCATTCCAGTACCATATCACCGGTAAAGCATTGTGTTCTTTCAAGCATTCTAGATTGCAGGTGGGGGAGGGGTACTGCTAGAAAGGATGGACAGTCAAACCTCCTAATGGGTTCCTCTGGACATAATGAGGGGAAGCATCGGAGTGGTAAAAATTTACTAAAAGATTACTAAAAATATATTTAACATTGTAAAGGCGGTTGCAGCGGTTTTATAATTTGCTGAAAATCAGGTCCAGCATCCCTTAAAATGCTTACTCACTCCTCACCTCCCTCCACTTGGGTTGCAGTCTTCACCAGTTCTTCCCTGCTGAACCACCACCTCTAATAAGTTTTCTCTTTCCTTCCTCCTCTTCGCTTCCATTCTAGATTCCCTGCTAAGACCTTCAGCAAAGAAGTCCAATATCCTCCTTCCTTGTAACTTAGGAGAAACTTCCTTCCAAGTTTGTGTGACTGTTCCCCTAAATCCTACAAGCTTTAGGGTGAGTTAGTCTAGGAGTTATACTGTTATAGTTGATAGTTTATGAAAATGCCTATCCAAAGTCTTCTCTACAGGTCTTGTTGTAGTCCTTTCTGAGAGAGTGGCGGCTTTGTTATCCCACGGTTATGAACCCTAGGAAAAAAGGCATAATCTGTTAATGTGTTGAAGGCTCTCATTTGGAAGACTGCTTGATTCAGGGCACCGGGTCCTTACCTTGGTCGCGCTTTCAAAAACTTTTTGCTGGAGCCTCTCTTATTCCTGACCTGATTGATATTCAGGTGGAGATTCAGGCAACAAAAACAGAAGATTCTGTACTCGTGGTTCAGGGTTGTGAAATTGATGATTTGCAGTGGAAAAGGAACCGTACAGACACTCCCGGGTGACTCCCCCAGTAGAATGTAGCCAGAGCCATAAGGCCCACTTGAGAAAAAGAAAATCTTCTACTATTCTGGTTATTTTAACTATAGTGGCTGACCTCAATTGTGACTGCCACTGAAAAGCAGAGGCCGCATCCACTTTCTCGTCAATCAGCTTCTGCACCACATCCCGAGCATGGGTGTCAATTGTACAGAGAGTAATGATCTTTTTCCGATCTCCCTTGGTCAGCTCCCCAAGAATCAACTTGACTAACTCATCCAGCTGTTCTTGACACTTTTTGTAGAAATCCTTCAGTGCCGTTTCGTTTCCATCCTCCAGTTGCTCAAAGCACTGGAAAACATCCTGCTCATTGACAAGCAGAGCACCAAGAAAGAATCACATGCACTGATTAGGAGATGATCAGCTGGCACAAAGAAAAAGGAGGGGGGACCCTCCAAACACTTCATGCAGCCCCAAGATGCACGTACAGCATCTTACAACTCCAACCAATGCTTTCATTCCCTTCCAACATGTGTGTCAAGCACCTCCCAACCCCCATTGACACCCCCCCTTCTCTCCGTTTCCTTCTAAAGCATTTTGCACCACCCAGAGTTAATGCTCCTACTCACCTCTAAATGTGACTCTAAAGCAAGAGGAAGTAGTACTTTCTGCACATAGATCAGTTCTCGTACTGCAATCTGTCAGTTCGTGTCATAGCAGCCATTTGAAGTAACCCACTACCCACAACGAGGACTTCCAACTGTGACTGCACTTTCTGGTGAGGAAGCTGACATTATGGGCAGTATGGCAGGAGAGAGCCAGGATCACATCGGATGATATGAGGAAATCTAGAGAGCAGGTATGGGCTTCCAACTAAGAACCTCATCTGCAGCAGAGGCACAGATCGTGTAAAAATGGTGGAAGAGCAGATTTCGTTAATCCAGGGGGACCCTGAATCAGAATGGAGGCAGAAAGCGAAATTTCAACTTACAAGGCTAGCGAAGAGGCAAGGTGGCAACGATACAAGGACTGTGCGTCAAATGGAAAGCCTGGTACAACTCAGAGACATCAACTGCAGGACAAAGCAGCCATCAGAAAGAGTCCCAGCATTCCATATCGATATGAGAGCCAGAGGCTAGCCTTTCTGGGCAAGAGCATGTTGACAATAATAAAAAATCCGATTTTCTGACTCGGGAATCTCATCCGCGGTTATCAAGGTCAATCTGACGCACGCAGGAAAGGGTCTGAGAGGGATGAGCGAAAGAAATGGGAAGCTGACAGTCAATCCTCCAGGAATGGTGTAATCAATGCTGTTCAGGGGTCCTTCGCCTAAATGGAAGGAAGCGTGAGCACGTACTTATTGTAAAATCATGACTTGCTGGGGGAAAAGTAACTGCACTGACACTCCCAAAAATGGATACGGACTTTCCGAAGCCAGGGCGACACGAACGTTATGAAGCCAGAACCACAAGGACCTGTTTTATTAAGAAAGAAGAAAAAAAGGAAAAAGTATTTTAATTAATGTTTTGTCAGTTTTGCGTAATGTGGTCCGCCATACATGTTGGAAACCCTCTCTCATGCTCTCACTGTTTCAACTATATTTGGGTATTTCAGTGAATTTCACACTATTTCACACCTAATTTAGCCTTTACTGCGATAGACGAAACATTAGACTTCCTGAACACCGATTGAAGCTCTTTGCAAGTTTGCACAGCTTTAGCAAAAGGGATTAGACAAGTCATGTCTGTACATGAGAATGAGAAGACCTGCCTGCGTGTAGACAATGCGAGTGACAACGATAACAATCTGTGCGCAATGATCAAAAATCCACTTCTCACGGGACTTCTCATAGTACCCTGCATATGCCTCCTTCAGCAACCATCTGAGAGCATTTCTCGCTGCCTCCAGAAGCCCAGCTAGCCACACTTCAACAGCTCCTGTGCAATTGAAGGAATCGTGCCATGGAACATATTCACCTTCTCCACTGTACATGCCAATGGCTATCTTGGTCTTTCCCACTTCCTGAGAGGGATAGAAACCAACATCATGCATCATCATCAGTCGTGAGAATGGCCACTATGAAACTTGACACCAACATATTCAGGTGTACCCAGGCCATGTGGCTGTCAAACAGCTCATAAGTTTGAATCCCCTTTTTTTCCTGAACAATTGGAATTCCATTATCCACCTGTAAACTGGATCCAATGTCCCTTACATCACAACTCGTGCAACACTTCCTTCCGTTCAGGCCGAAGGACCCTTTTTTTTCTTTTTTTTTTTCTTTTTTTTTTTCTTTTTTTCTTTTTTTCTTTTTTTTCTTTCAAACAGAACCTCTTGGTTCTGGCTCCTACCATTCTGGGGAGCGACAGTCCAGTTCCTATCCCCCCGGCAAGTCAATATGGAATACATGGGAGACTCACGCACGCTCCTCCCCTTTATGGCTGGGAGGCCCGCGTGGACGGCATTGATTACTTCCTTGAGGAAGGATGTACCACCCCTCGCCCCTGCCTAAGTTAGCCTGTGCTAATTAAACTGCTCAGTTGCTGCTAATCTGTCGGACCCCAGTCCCGCTCCTCTCAGCTGTGGTGCTGTCTGGTTGGTGTGTTATGCTAGAGCGATCTGGAAAGCCTATGAGTCTTCCAAAATCTCTGATGCCCTAAGTCCTGTTTGCCCTGTGAGTCTTCTGAAATCTCTGATGCCCTAAGTCCTGTTTGCCCTGTCTCTGTCTAAACCTTAAGCCCTAAGCCCTCAGCTGTAATGCTGCTGTGATTTACCTGTTCCTAGTTCCTAGAAATGTAAAACAAGTACTGTTCTTAGGCTCTAAAGCCCTAAACCCTGAGCCCTCTTCCTTTCTCTAGCTTGGGATGTGAACCCTTCCTTTCTCACTGATGTCTGTTTTTACTGCTATTTTCCTCTGAGTTACCCCTTTTTTGGGAACATGCTCACGCTCCTCCACTTTCTGGTGTGGAGGCCCGAAGGGCGGCATTGATTGCTTCCATCAGGAAGGATGTACCCCCCCTCACCCCTGCCTCAGTTAGCCTGTGCTACTTTTCTCCCGTCTTTTGCTAACCTGAAATTCCGTTCGCTCTAAAGTTTGGGACTTAATTCTGTATGTTCCATCCAGTCCGTACTTCTCAGCTCCTCGGCTGTCTGTTTTTCTTCTCGTGCTAGTATTGCTGAAAAGGCTGCTTGTGTTAAATTCTGTTTACACTATGCTCCATGCAGTTTACAGTTGTTGCGTTCCTTACTATAACCCTAGGCCCTAGCTCATCTACTTATTCTTGTAGGCCGTGTCTGTACCTGTTGACGTAGGGATTTTGGATTCCTGAGGTGGTTGTGGTAGTGCTTTAGTGAATCTTCCTTTTGAGTTGCTTAGTTTCCTATGAGGTATGGTCTATTTCGAGATTGATTTGTGCTTGGTTCATTGGGGATCTTATGGTTTGGGGTTTTTGAGGGGCTAAGGCCTAGTCTGTTAAAGTGAAATTAGGTAGTTGGGTGTTCCTGTTCTGGGTTGATAAGCTGACACTGTTTTAGCACTATCTGTTGTTGTTTGGTTTGTTTAAAAGGAGCCAATAGACATTCCTGTGACATGGGATCTACTTTGAGGCGGGGCGGGGGATTGCGGTATGGTTAGTCTATTGTGTCTCCGATGTCCGAACTGTAGTCTGTTCTGGGAGATTGTTGCTATTCTCCCTTCCCCTAGCTGCTTTTTGTTAAAAACCTCAATGATTTTGTCTCTATCTACTATATTCTTCTCTATTTTCCTACACACTCTCTTCCAGCGCCCTCTGTATTCAATCTCTAATATATTTAGGACTCCTTCCCATGTTTCCTGCACTGAAATTGACGTACGGTATAACGTCTCTTGACATCTTCTTTTCCATATCATCCATAACGTTGCCAGACGTAGAATGTGAAAGAAAATGGTCTCGTGCCCCTGCCAATTGGATGGGATGTGCAGGCCCAATAGAAGAGTAAGAAGGTCAGTAGGGAGGGTTTTGTTTGTGATTGTATGCCAGAGTTCAGTTGTGTTGGACCAGAGTTGCTGTGCTTTTGGGCAGTGTAGTAGGCAATGGCCCACGTCTTCCACGTGACTTTCCGGGCAGATTGTGCATAGTTCTTGTAACGGGGTCCTGGCTTGAATGTTTCTCCTCTCGTTTCAACCATTGGTTAACTGGGAGAGCCAGGTGGGCGAGTAGCCACTGGAAGCTTCTTATTTTGACTTGGTTGATGTTTAGAAATCCAGTCCAGGGGATGTTCGGGATACGATTTTGAGTGAGGTCAAAATGTGTTTCCCATCTTTGGCCTACGATTTGGGTTATGGGCTGCGACCTTGTCCTAGTCTGGTTGTGTATTCTAGGATGTTAGTGCGTTTTTCTATGCTGAGCCTCCCGGATCTCATTTTCCACGCCCATTCCACCAGGTCAATCTCCAAGTCCTTGATATTGGTTTGTGAGTTGTAGATTTGGCGGTCCTGTGTTTCTGTTACTCTCACCTCCTTAGTGTTAGTTCATGCCAGGCCACTTCCCCTGTGGAGTTTTTGCTTAGTACGCTTGTTGATGCACCTGGGTCTTCAATTGTGTAAATGTCACAGATGAGCCATTCATTTCCTGTGCCTTCCCTGGTTCGGAACTGGTAGGCTGCCTTCGATGGGACTTCGTCCTTCTCCGTAGCCCAGTCTCCTGCTTTCCACAAGTATCGGCTTTTGAGACGTCCAAACCAGCTTTCAGGGATTGAAATTAAAATGTGGTTGAGATTCTCTTGCAGGTTATGGCAACCTTTTAGTTGTTCCCTTAGCTCTCCTGTTGTCCTCCATCTCGATTCCTCGTTGTGCCATAGGTGCTTGATCTGCCATACCCTTTTTTCTACCCACGAGCCCCATCTTGAGTCTTTGGCTGTTAGGGTCCAAGGTTTCCCTTGTGTGTCCAAAATCCACTGGTTACAGAAGATTGGTTGTCTGAGCACTTCTTCCTTTGTTGTGGGTTCCCTTACTTTCGCTGGTAGTCTCTCTCTCCATGTTTTCAATAAGATTCGCCAAAAGTCGTTATCGTCTGCTTCCTCTTCTTCCAGTTCTGTTGTCCTGATTGTGCCCTTCATTGCCCATGATTTAGCCATGATCCAGAACAAACCTTTCATGTTGTCCGGTGTTTTGAATTTAGCTAGTTTTTGTATCCTCCGTAGGGCCAGGTGGGTCCATGGTAAGTTATCATACATGATTAGTTTAAGGATCCATTTGGATTGTAGGGCCTTAATCAGTGTTTCAGGATCAAGGATCCCTAAGCCTCCCTTAGATTTTTTGTTGACAACGTGCTCCCAGGCCACCTTCGATATGAAATGTTCCTTGGAGGGGTTTCCTGACCAGAGGTAGGCCGCTGCTCTTCTCCTTAGTTGGTGTCTAAGTTGTTCGGGGGGGCTCCAGATCGTTGCTGCATACCAGAGCATTGAGAAGATGGAGGCCTAAGGATCATGGCTGTACCGAAGATAGATGTGTACACATTCGTCCAGCTCCCCATTTTTGTCAGCATCCTATTCATTATTACTGGTGCCATTGCGTGATTGGGGCCGTATTTAGACATCTGGATGCCCAAGAATCTGAGGTGTTCGTTACCCCGGTTCCATGTCATTCCTTCTGGGGTTCTTTGCGGTGGATTCAACTGCGGGTCTGTTAGCCACCAACCTATTGTTTTGGCCCAATTAGGTAGAGACTTCTAGAACAGACCCCTTTCTAAGCTAATGGTAACTGCAGCGGGCCTTCATCTGCCCCGGCCTACAGCCAGGGCCTATTTGGCTATTTGCCAGTTCGGCCTGTGGGACCAGGCCGTGGCCTGACCCCACAGGCCGTATATTGTTTCAGTCCAGTCCAGTCCCGCCCGGTACCACGGTCGGTACCAGGCCAGTCCAGTCCAGTCCAGTCAGTCCGCTGGGGGTATACCCCAGCTGCAGTCTGTTTTTCGTCATTCTTCACTTTCGCAGATCCTGGAGTACTTGCGTGTGGAGTCTGCGTCGGAGCTGCGCTGTCCCCTCCAGCTCCATCTCTACCTCCTTCTTCGTCTCCATCCTAACGGACCGCCATCCCGGCGGGTCCGGCACA